ACGCTCGACTGGGTCCACAAGTCGAAGACACTCTTCGGACGTGCAACGCAATTTGCCGTCTTACTGTCTCCGTGGAGTCTAGTGGTGCAACGAGTCAAGGAAAAGGATTGCGCCTTCGCGCAGCTCTTACAGTCGACGATCACAAGCTTCGTTGACCTCGAAGCCTCGTTGGCACCAGTGACCCCTCGAGCCAAAGGATCGCCGAGTGTTCGGATGGATCCGCATTTTCTTTATGCACGGTTGCCACGTACATACAGTGGCTACGTACTTTCGTTTGATGGCTCGGCGAAGACCGAGAAGCATGGTGGATACGGCAGTTGCGCCTGGATACTATGGCGACTTCCTGAATGGAGTGTAGTGATCGCTGCGAGTGCGTATCTCGAGACCACGACTGTAAACCTCGCTGAGTACACCGGAATGAACAACGGGGTCTCTGCCGCCCTGGAACATGGGGCCGAGGACTTAGTCATCGTCGGGGACTCGAGACTCGCAATCCAGCCATCCCTAGGGGTGATCGCTTGCCGTAAGGAGTCGCTGATGGCACAACTGAATAAGCACAAGGAACTGACCGCGAGACTTCGGTCCGTGAAGTACCTACATGCTATCCGAGAGTTCAATGCAGCCGCAGACTCATTGGCGAGCGAAACCTTGGAGAAGAAGGTGTCGATGACGGTGAACAGCGAAGACCGAAAACGAGAGTTGATGGAATTGAATCGGATCCGAGAAGTGCTCTATGAACCGTCAGCCGAAGCCTCTGAAGCTTCTGGAGAAGTCGTAACGCGTCACGTGAACTCGATACGTGTGATGGATACGCGTGACAGGGACCGTAGTAAGAATTTTTTCGATTTTGTACGGGATACTGGACATGTTGCCGCGGGAACGAGGCAACAAGCCCGCGCGCGTGCGAAACAAGTACGCTTTGCCGATGAAACTTCGAGTGATGAACCAGAAGAGAGAACATAAGGAGACGAAGCTAACGACGCCAGCAACGAAGAGTCTAACGAACTTCCGGACCAACCGAGACCTGACGCAACGGTGGTCCATGAACCGAGTGCTGACGACATCGACCCGCTAGTTGTGCAGGAAGAACGGCGCAGGCGCATTGGCACAGCCCAGGATGAGGAGTTCCGGTGGTCAAACCTCAAGACGGTGCTAAAGGGAGACGAAGCGAAGCTTGCCTACAAAGCTGCACGCGAAGCCTGGAAGATGGCTGACAAGTTCGTGTTAAGCGAAGATGGCTTGCTGTATTTCCTTGGTGCGAACCGTCGGTGGGGTCGCGACCGGGCCGAGGAGACGACACTACGCCTAGTGGTGCCAACAACGATGGTTCAGGAGATCCTACAGAACTGTCATGACTCGTTGGAAGGCGGTCACCAAGGTATCGTCCGAACCTACCACCGAGTCAAGGCTGACTACCATTGGATTGGCTTGTTCGCCGATGTGGAGAAACACGTACGCTCGTGTCCAGACTGTAGCTCAAGCAAGAGTCGCCCGCAGCTACGTGGGTACTCCCCAGGCAACATTCTGGCCGAGCGTCCGCTACAATTTGTCTCGATGGATTTTGTGATACCCCTACCGAAGACTCGGCGGGGCAATACCGCACTGCTACTGTTTCAGTGTGCGTTCACTGGATTCGTCATGGGCAAGGCGATGGCGGACACATCTGCACTCTGTGTAGCACAAGCATTCGAAGAGTGCGTGTACCGAAGGTTCGGAGCGCCGTCTCTGATCAGGCATGACCGAGACCCGCGCTTCATGAGCGAGGTCTTCCAAACCTTCGCCGAGATGATGCAGTCGAGATCTAGGGCTACGTTGAGCTATCGGCCGCAGGCTAACGGCCAGCAGGAACGCTCGGTCAAGACCGTAATGCAATCGGTGCGAGTGTACGCGGAGGACCCGCTGCAATAAGACTGGGATGAGATTGTGGAGAAGTTGATCTTTGCGGTTAACAACTCGCAGGACGCCACGAGGAAGGACACGCCCTTTTACTTGGTGCACGAATGGGACGCAAGGTCCACCCTCCGAGCAATGTCCTCATCACTGAAGCGAGGTGTCGGGCGACAGTCCGATGCATTGGCGTGGCGCCGAGAGGTCAACAGGCAACAGGAGGTTGCGTTGGAAATGGCTAAAGAGTACCAAGCAGTCGAGAAAGCTCGGCGTGCCCAAAAGCATAACGAGGCTTTGAGCCGAGCGGAACGTGCTGCGCTTCTACCTTCCGCGACTGGTGAAACCTCGGAAGGTGATCCGACAGGTGCAGAGGGTGAGGGTGACTCACCAGACCCCGCACCGAAGTCTCTCTTCCAGCCTGGTGATCGTGCGTGGCTTTACATGGAACGCGTCAAGCCAGGGTTGACCAAGAAGTTGGCCCATCGATGGCATGGTCCCTTCCGCATCAAACAGAAGGTTGACGAGTATGCGTACGAATTGGATTTGCCTGACAAGAGTGGTTATCGGTTCTACCCGGTAGTACATGTGTCTCGGTTGAAGGCGGTGAACGAGTTTGGCGATCGACCGAAGACTCGACTCGCCGCTGAGGTTACCGAAGAGACGCGACTAGACTTCGACGAGGAGTTACTCCCGGAGGATAGTTTGGAACCCGACCACCTGGCGGGCGAGTATGAGGTTGAAGCCATCTTGGATGACCGAATTCCCCTCTCGACGAGCACTGAGCGAGCCGTCCGAGAGTTCAAGGTGAAGTGGGTTGGCTACGACGAACCCTCGTGGGAGCCCGCGTCGAATCTGTCTTGTGGCGGACTGCTGTATGACTATCTACGCGAGAAACGACGTGACCGAAGGTTGCAAATGGTCCAAGTCGCTGACGAGGACTAGTTGCAATGATGAACTGCCGGCAGGGCTACGCAGCCTGCCCCAGCAGACGAAACATGTTACTGCGGAAAGAAGATTGTATATTTGTTTGTTGAAGTGGACGAGACTTTACGAAGTGGAGATCACGACTGGA